ACGCAGCCGTTCTCTTTTCGTCTCCTCCAACTTCGAAACTCTACATCAACTTGAAGTGTAGAGACGCAGACAGTCAGACACTCTAGCTTGTCTGCGTCTCTCCTCCATATCGAGCGGCTTTATCTCGATGTGCAGAAAAGATAGAGAAAGGTGACAAGAGACAAAAATTATCAGCGTGAAGTCCTCTATCAAATGATGTAAAACTATTGGGGGAAATTTTTTTTTAGGAAACTATCCTAGACCACCGTTTGGGATTATAGGTCACCAAGTAGATTTCTAGGTCACCAAGTAGATTTCTAGGCCACCAAAAGTTCAACAAAAGGGCACTCCTCTTACCTCATCGCTTCCAAACTCATATCCTCCAACAATAGACATCAATCCAGCATAGAAAGTCATTTGATAGATGAATGCGAACCACATGGATAACATGTTTCCAGTACAAAGTAATGTGATTTCAGGGGAAGAGGTGAAGGATCCAACAAAGTCAGCGAACATATTCGTGAGGCAGGAGATGAGAATAGCCGGTCCCACTTCAGCCATCACTTCACTCATTCGATGTCCGACACTGTCTTTTTTTCGAGGGGTCTCACGCATGTGTTTGGTCACACGTTGCCATTCGTGGATCATTAGGTACGAGGAGTCAACACCTGGAACAGAGGGGAAGCAGTTGGTGTATGAATTCAAGAGAAATTTGATGTTGGAAGGAAGGGAGCAGGGAGACTAGAGTGTCTAACTGTATGCGTCTTTGTGATATAGTCATAGGCGGATACGCAGAGAGTCAGACACTCTAGCGTGTCTGCGTCGCTTGCGCATCTGCACGCGCTCTATGAGAGGCGACGCAGACAAGGAGAGACTGTCTGTCTGTCTGCGTCTCCCTCTCTCTCTTCTAACAAAGACGAAAACTCACCAATAGAAAGGACCAAAAACGGAATGACACACAGAATCGAAGCGAATCGAATACCACACAAGAACATCAGAGCTAATGCAGTGGCACAAGCCAATAGAGGTGTCAGACATGCCATAATCGCTAGAATCACTTTGTATCCATTCTCCTGATGCATATAAAGAGCACGAATCATCACAAGAACACACGAACACAGACACATGATAGCGAAACCAACGACTAGATAAGGGATCATGATAATTCCTCCTCTGACCATCTCCTCTTCAACGTAAGACTGAGAGTAGGCATAGATCTTGAGTCGTTTTGAGTTGTATCGCTTCTCGAAGATATCAACCATTGACATTTCCCATTTCTTCACTTGAGCCTCTGTCCATCCTGGTTTATGCTCTGCACGGAACTGTAGGGTGATCATTTTCACGGATTTCACATTGGTGATACGGGAGACTGGATCGATGAGACGGGTTGCATTTAGTTCTGGAAGATTTTTTTTTCTAATTCTCGTTGAAATTCGAATAGTTCGATAGAAAATTTTAAGCTGATCATTTTTGTCTCTTGTAATTTTTCTCTTTCTTATCTGCTAATCGAGATATAGCAGTTTGAAGTTAGAGAGGAGACGCAGAAAGGCTAGAGTTTCTGGCTGTCTGCGTCTCTCTCCTAACTTCAAACGCCCATATCTCAGTTCATTGAAGAAATACAGAAAAATTCCAAGAGACAAAAATGATCAGCGTAAAATTCTTCATCGATTGGTACTCAACTATCATCAAAATTTTATATCAAAAATTTCGAAAAAAAAAATTCACGATTTCCCCTCATCAAACTAACCCAAAACAGAGTCTCCATCGGCTGAATCCAATAGTTTCGCGGCGTCATCCGGTTGGTCGAATAGTTCAACTCCAAAGAAATTCGGTTGAAGGGAGAACTGTCTTCCGAACATGTCAGATACGGGATATTGAATCTTAATTCGAGAGTTCTGGTCGCCATCGCTTAGGATTTGGTAGCCGTTCTGAAAAAAAATTTGTTATTGTACAATTTTTTTCCTCTTGTGACTTTACTCTATGTTTTGTACAAAGCAAGATAAAGGAGAGATAGAGTAGAGACGCAGAAAGCTAGAGTTTCTGACTGTCTGCGTCTCCCTTCCCAGTTCCTTGAAGATATTTGCTGATAATAAGAAAAAAAACTCACATAAAACTGTCGAACGGGCTCATTAATCTGGCAGAAACTCTGACAAAACTGATTGAATGTCTCATTCTTCCCAGATATCGAGTCATACATCGTGATATTATTCAGTGCAAAGTTCAATACTTGAATAGTCTCATCCAAATAATCTGGTCGTGACATACTCCCCTCGTCCTTTGCAACAATAAATAAATAGGCGGCAATGGGTAGTCCAGAACTCGAAAAGAACCTCTGATACTCTAAATACTCGTCTTTTGCCCGTGCTCCATAGGGTGTGTATCCAGTGATATCATTCGCCTGTTTTGTCAAAAGGATTTTGACCATGGCTAGAGTGGAAATGATTATGCAAATGATGATGGCAAGCCACGCATGTTTAGCAATCAAGAATCCCCAGTTACGGAACTTTCCAATGATCCAGCGCACGAATCGGGGTCCTGAAACGGAGTATTTAGAAGTCGATGGTAGAATTTTTTTTTCGATGTTAAGTTCTAAATCGGGCACTTTTGCTATTGAGTGCCCGGAGATGGACCGTCTTTGAGTACAAATAATTTGTAATGAAGCTGTCCTTTCAAATGTACACCGCCCCTATATTAGAGCAGCAATGTTAATGAGGGTTGGAACAATCCTAAATATTTTAGGGTTAGGAATTACTGCTGTTGTTCCAAGCACGGGTGACCCGAGCAAGCCCTACGCGCTCAAAAATTCAAAATTTTACAAAATTTCTTTTTGAAAAGCGCGGAATTTATTCCCTAGCCTATTTTCACTTTCTGACGAGTCTAGGAGTTGTGTTCAGTGCTTGACGCAGCGGTTTTTTCTTAGAAGCGCCTAACTGTGTACTCACCCTGATCAACCTCATTATACACATCGAGAGATCTTTGTCCAATGAGTAATGATTGACGACGTGGACGGGCAATGCTCCCGTCCATCGTACCGGCGGCGGCTGGTGGCGGCGCCAATGTGAACTGGAATTAGGGAAACTTTTATGGGGAAATTGGTAAAATAACAATTATTATCAAATCAAAAAAAAAAGAAACTCAGTGAATTTAGGTCAAAGGTTATGGAGAACATCAGAAAAATGCAGTCAGTTTGAGGCATTTCTAGACCTCCAAAAAGAAAATACTGGGAAAACTCTAAAAATAGGATGAGAACCCCGAAAAGTACTTTCAGAAAAAATTCCAAAATGCCAAAATTTGCATAAAAACCTCTAGAAAAACCACCAAAAACCGTATCAATGAAAACCAAATAAAATGATAATTAGTACGCTGCCAAGAAAGAACAAAAAGGGGTGAAACTAGAGACCAGTTTTATCGTCAAAACACTTGAAACTTTTTTTTGGAAGAAGTTCTTTGTTAAAAAAGGGCGAAGAGGCTGAGGAACAAGAATGTTTTGGTGGTCAGCAAATCAAAAGAGAGAGAGAGTACAAGACACTTAGGACCATACAGAAGGGAGGGAGGGGAGAACTGGTAATAATAAGTGACAGAGAGATGAGGAGATAATGAGGAGAGAGCTCCTTTGGGAAAGAACGTGTAGTCGACTACATCAAGATAACACCAATTGTAGTCTCAGAAGCGAGGGACCCTCTAGATGTTTCTTGTAGGACTCTGGAATATTCTAGAACTTATTGACCTAGATGAACCCTATTTTCCTGAATCTCGGTGACTAAGGGCCTGCCCAGATCAAAAAGCATGAGAAACGGAGTCTTGGACGGTCTAGATAAAATCTCTAGAGTTCCAGAACATTCCAGAACATCTTAATCTAGATAACCTTCATACTTCGAGCTCTACAGGTTGTACACTCCTTCTAGTACATCTAGACATAGAACATACCAGAGAATTCTAGATTCATTTAGAACGTGTTAATCTGGGGTCCTCTTCTCTCCCAAACCCTGAGAGTATAAAGTACAAATAGAGTACAACCAGAAAGATCAAGAAGGATCAAGATGTTTCGCGATAATTTATGAGAGATGGGAGGATTGATGATCCCGAAAAGTGATAAGAGGGCATTATTGTTGTTATATAATTGGTCTCCCTCTCGGAATGTGATATTTGATGACAATATCACGTAATAGAGAGAAATTAGAGTTGACCAGAATTTTGGAATTATCGAGCTTTCGTGAGGAGTTTTCAGCGAAATATTTCAGCATAAAAAACTCGCTTTCACTTTGCATAGTCCCTAGAAAAACCTTGAAAACCAGTCCCAAAAAGTTTAAAAAGAAAACAAAAACAAAATGCACCATGTGGAGTCGAACCCGCGAGGCTCAGTTTGAGAGACAAACGCGTTATCCACAACACTACGCAGGAAAAAGAGAAAAAGGAATGGAGGGCGTATAGATGGCGGCGCCCTCTCGCGCAGCACAAAAAAGAGAACCTTACAGTACCGGGAACAATGTAGGCTGAAGGCGAATATTGAAAACTCACTTCCTGGAGTGCCCTTCAATCAGAGATTAAAAAAAAGCGCTAAAGTACCTTCAAACCACACAAAATTCATAAGGAATTCGAATCCGAAAAAGGAAACAAGGTGAGTAAATCAAAAAGTGTCTCATTCCCTCATTCCAAGTATCTTGTACATATCAAGAAGTGATGGTTGAAGAGAGAGAAAGTGTCACTTTCACCCCTTCCTCTTCTCAATCAGAAAATCACTACTAATTGGCAAACGAGAGGGAAAATCAATTGTAATAGACTCACTGACTTCTTCATGCGGCATTGAGGGAGGAAAGGAATGTTGTATGATTTGAGGAAAGTGAATTAAATAAGGAAAGGAAGTGTTTTATAAAAAAAAAAGTTAATTAGAAAATTTTGGAACCCCTAAAATAGGAGTAGTTGTAATGTTTTTTTCCCGAAACACCAGGAAATACTCAAAATTTGTGGCTTACAGTCCCCACAAATATTTCCCTGGGAAGAAAAAAGGAAACAAAAACGTTTTCCATCACTTGGAATCGAACCACTGGCCTTCAGATCCAAAGGCAAAAGCGTTCACCACTACGCCACTCTGCACCTCAGAAACGCAAAGGGGGAGGGCGTACAGATGGCGGCGCCAGAGGAAGAGGGTTACAGTGATTGCTCAAAAGCTACGCAAACACCACTACGAGAAATTGCAGACAATTATAAAAATTTCAAAAAAATCGAGGTTAATTATTTGTAGAGTTCGTTGAACACCGCAAACACTTCGTCATTTTTTCTTCGCGAGATTATGCACTTTCTTCCGAATAAAGAAGTATTGGGCAAACATGTTTTTTAGTGAAACAGGCGGGGAGGACAGTCTTGAGAGAAGGGAATTACGAAAATGATGATTGTTTTTCAAAGATCAAAAATAATAGATATCGGGGCGGTGTGATTTGTGATTGTTTTTGAAGTATATGTATTTTGGGAGGATTTTTTGGTTTTGATCACTTGAACATTATCTAAGGAAACATTTTGGGTCTGGAATAGAAGGGCACCCCTGGAAACGTAATGAGAATGGAAAAATTGAAAAACTGTAATGAAAGCGCAAGAGCAACATCAAACTGGAAATGGCTGATCCAAAAAAACCTCTAACAACCAGGCACATGAGAAAATCGGAAAAAGTTTTCAAATGTAATTTGAATTCCCGCCAAAAAACTTTAGATTTGAGAATGAGAATTGTAAAACATTGTTGATATCTCACAAAATGATCAAGTTAGATACGTCTACAAACAGGTCGAACAAGATAAAAAATGGGACGAAGAACCTCTAATATAAGGACTCCAACACGTGTAAAAACAACAATTGAACCAAAAATTTCAAATGCCTTGTGATTCACACAAAAAACACCACTAGTTCTCATGGCTGCCGTAAATCCTGGTATACCGTCCAGGATAGTATGTTCAGAGCAGTATATCTCGGTTACCTTTGAGGTTATCAAAAAGTGTTTAACTAGTATAATGTGTGAAAAAACATTACAAATATTTTGTTAGTTGACCACCTTTTGATGGCTCTGAATACAACTGAGTTATGCTGCTTTGAACATAAAACAGTTGAGTATGGTTGTGGTGCCCCAGTAGTACATTCTGTTCAAAGCAGCACATCTCAGCTGACATTGAAAATTTCAAAAATTTGTCAATCAACAAAATGTTTATTTTTACATTTCGAACATTTTATCAGTGAAAATTTTTTCGATAGCACTAAAACTAACCGAGATATGCTGCTCTGAACAAACAATCCTGAAGACTTCTATGGCACACCCAGTACTGTATGTTCTAGGCTGTATATCTCAGTTGTCTTCAAAGTTATCAAAAAGTGATCAACTAGAACAATGTTCACCAATACATAATAAACAATTCAATAGTTGACAACTTTTTGATATCTCTAAAACCAACCAAGATTTACTTCTCGGAACATGAAACTCTATTCCTCGGGGGTGCCCTTCTGCTACAAGTCCTATCCTTCATAGCTGAAAACGGGAATGAACAAGTTTTGTTTCGTCTTCTCGAAACCACCAAGTCACATGTCCCTTTTCAGTTAACACACTGAAACGAACACAGTGTCACACACACAACCACATCAAATGCCTATATACAACAGTACACACAATCTCTCTTTTGTTTTACGATTTGTATACAAGAAGAGGTGATTGTTAATTTTCTAGAAAATCGTGAGAAGGAGGGGTGGGGTTCAAGTTAGTTTAACAGGGAATCGGAAAAAAATGATGAAGAAGAAGCGGAAGAACGGGCGGAGAAAAGTGATTAGACTTTACTTTTTAGCTTTAAAATTCTCCAAAAATACGGTTTCAAACCACCAGGACGGCACAAAAAATAATATGTACATTTCACTGGCACCTAACTTCTGCGCCATGATATATATCAAAAAGTGATCAACATGTAGAATGTAGCTGGCTAAATTTGGCAATTTTCGTTAGTTGACAAAATTTTTTATTTTTCACGGCTCAAAAGATATAGCACACTCAAAATTCTTGTGCAAAAACAAGATAGTTGAATACTTTGTACATAAGTTTCAAGGATTAAAAAATTCAAAAATAAGGAAAGAATCATAACTTATATCCCCCAGTATCCCCTTTTGTTTTTTAGAAACGTCAGACTGTTTTTCTGTTGTTTCTAGATCAAATTCAGTCAATATTAGGTCGTTTTGCCTAAATATACTGTGAGTCATTATGTTTTAGGCGATCAAAAATGTTCAAATTATAAAATCATGACGCCGAAATTTGAGACAACTCAATTCAATAACACACGGAAAATTTAGAAAAAGGTGAATACAAAGATTGAGAGATCTACAGGAGGCTGTTCCGGAAATCGAAGAAATAAGAAATTATAAAATTAGAAATTCTTACATACGGTACCGTGCAAAAGTATACGAACACTCCCGTTTTTCAGTTGCTTTTAGTCGACTTTAAGCAAGCGCCACAGAATCAAAAATTTTTCAAAGGCTGAAAAATTTTTGTACGTATTAAGGATAGCTAAAACTTTATTTTTGTAGTCGAAATCGTTTTTTGTAAGACCACTCTCCCGGCAGATACAGCTCTTTCAGCTTATGAATAACCCTTGAAAACATCGAAGTTTCTAGGGAAAATGGACGGTTTCTGAGGTAGTTGTTTTGGACGAGCTGTATCTGCCGGGAGTGTGATTGTAGAAAAAAGTTATCAACTACAAAAATGAAGTTCTAGTGGTGCTTGATACGTACAAATATTTTTAATTTTTTTTTCTGCACGGCACTGCATTCAAAAAGAAAGGTATTGGTTTGCGAATGTTTATCAGGGGGACTCGTCAAGAATGAATTGTCGTCGAATCTGACTTCGAGTACGTAAACACTAAAAACTCGTTACTTCATGAGTTCCCAGTACAAAACCTATGACATCAATCAAAACGGACCATAGAAGTAAGGCCTAGAACTGGAAAAAACTGCACAACTCCCGGTTTAAAATCTGGAAATCTAAGAAAACCAAAATCAAAAACTTTCAAAAATTGCAAGAATTGGGGGTGTGTGTAATTGATCTCTTATACATTGAAAAACTAAATGAGCGCGAAGAACGAGAGAGATAGAAAACAGTATAGAAGAAGAGGTGTTGAAGAAGACAAGACGACGACAAAATGGTAATCTTTGACACGCAGAATAAAAAGAAGACATCTGGTTTCTTCTTCTTCTTCCGTCGTCAGGTATTGAGGAGAGAGAGAGAGAGAGAGAGAGAGAGAGAGAGAGAGAGAGAGAGAGAGAGAGAGAGAGAGAGAGAGAGAGAGGTGAAGGGGTGGTTGTACAAGGTGATGTAAGAAGATGTAGAAAAGTAATCGATCGATACATATACATATACAAAACGAGACATCCCCCCCCCCCCTTGTCCCCCATCTGAATGCTATTAAGCTAAGCTTCTTCTTTTTCTTTTCCTCTGATCTACCTTTACTTTTGTCAAGGGCACCCCCGATGAGATGGAGGAGGAGGGGGAGACAGAGGAAGACGACGGATAGAAGATGGTGACGTGAGATTAAAGTGTGTGTTCTTCTTCGGGAAAGAAGAAGTGTTAGCATTAACACTTCATCGAAATTAATTGCTAGAGGAGGAGGGGTGTTCAGCGGATTCGAGACTTCAAAAGAGGAAGCTTTTTTGTAATTGAAGAGGATGTTTTGGCGAACAGTTGGAGGAAGCTTTTTTTGAATTTACTTCCAAAAGAATGTTATCGGTTTTGATAGGAATAGTATTTTTACAAAAGTTGAGTGGTGCAGGGACTTTGGAGGGCTCAACTACTGGAGTGTTTTTGGCTGTACAAGACGCTTGCCGCGACTTCGGCGCTTCAGCAGGCTCGTTTTGTATAAATACAGGTCGTTGCAATTATGGTTAATACAAGCAAGGGCAAATGGTCACGGCATTTTTATTGGAGAATTATACATACTTGTGACGGGTCGGGCCGGCCCGGACCACGAATTTCATCGCCCCGCCCCGGAAAATTACAAAGAATTTTGAAAAATCGAAAAAATATGCCCAAATTGTATGTTCAAGGGTTATAATGAGCATGAAAACATTAGTTTTGGGTTTTGAAGCATTGCACTGTTTTGATGAACTTTCAGTCAAAAAAATTTCTTTAACAGTGCAAACTTTTTCAGAAAAAAATTAGAAATTTTTTGAACCCGGGCCACCGGACCGAACCGAAATTTCACAAGTATGGAATTATACGGCTCTCCTGATTTGGAGCAGTTTTTTGTTTGAAAAAGAACTTTCATCTTAATTTTCAACACGGTTTGAGGTAGCCATGAGCTGAAAAAACCAACATTTCACGACAAAATCATGTGGAAATTTGAAGAAAGTCTGAAACATGGTCCGATGAGTACAAAAAAAATATCTACACGATTTTACCTCTGGCAGCAGTTTTTCTGAAACCCGGAGTGACAAAATCTATGTTTCTCATTTTGAAAACGTAAAAATTTCATCAATTTTAGAATCCAGAGACTTAACGAATTCGTTTTTTACAGGAAGACATTAGAGAGTCTGATTCGATTCTCAGAATTTAATCTTGAAAAATGACAATTTTCAAAAATCTCTAACGACCAAACCTGTCAAAAGAACCCATTACCTTGTCATGTCAAACCACCTGAACCCTCTATTGCAATTCGATCACCTTCAAAAACCTCCCTCCCTAAAGGCCTATTTATGCAAATCACCATTAAAAGTGGAAACGAATGGTTCAACAGAGGACCCCAAATTTAATGTGATGCCTATTATACCATGAAGGTCGTTCTGTTCTTCAGTTCAAACGAAAAAAAAGAGAGGTGTCCCTTTAGAAATTCTTTTGGAAGGGTGTTCACGATCATTCAAGTGTAGTGAAAGAATGAAATTGAGGGGAAAAAAAAAGAAAAATCAGGGAGATCAAAAAATTGGTGTGTGTACGTTCGGACATAGGTCAAGAAATGAGGGACGGTGAGTCATGAATTCGGAAAACTTGGGGGTGTCTCCCAGGATGATTCATGAATTCTCGGTCATTAGAATAGAATTTCTCGGGGCAAAAGCCCAATTTGGGGGGCTATGCAAAGTTTAAG